GCGCTGTGAAGATATACCGTTATAGACAATATAGTTATATATATATATATATATATATATATATATATATATATATATATATATATATAATGTTATCTGTAACATGATGCGTTCTTTTAATCTGTATATCAGTAGTGGACTTGTCTTACGGTTTCTGTTTTAGGCCGTGCTCCACACGGTCTTGAGCTCCTAATAAAACCCATTCTGCTGAAACTCTGCGATGAGATTTGTTATTATTCTGCACATTTAAAGTTTTTTTTTGTCAAGTGATCTTGCTTCTTGTCCTTGGTTTAACGAACTGTGTAAATCGTACTTCCTTTGATTGTCACTAGATGTCCTCGGTTGCCTTTATCTGGTTTTATGATCTTCATGTTAGCACTTCCTTTTTCATTCTAGCGCTACTTGTACTGTTACTCTGCCATATCTTGCTTTGTTTCTTATCAGTTCTTTATTGTTACCCTCTTTTCGCTTGCCTGACCTTGCTCTGTATTTTACTTTTTTTTGTTGTTGTTGCTTTGTTTTATGTTAGGCCAGTCAGATTTTCTCTCTTTATCAAAGTTTTGTTTGTTGGGCGTTTAATTTTTTGTAGCTTCCTGGGTTTTCTTCTGTGTTTACTACACTATGTTGCTTATCTCTCTGCTTTATATTTAGTCGTCTGTTCTGGTCATATATCTATTAATCTGACCATGCACACTTAAATAAATATCTTGCTTCTAAATAAATATGAGATAATTTGAGCTCGCATTTTTCTGTTATTGCACTGATTTAATTACTAAAACAACAGTGAAGCAAAAACTGTACCCTTATTCTGCTGAGTCTTATTGCAGGTAAGCAGCTAATAAAAAAACAGTAGTTCTTGTTTCCACATGCACATTCTCCTTCAAGTCTAAAAACAGTTGTTTTGTTATCATAGATACAAAACACAGAGACGCTTACAGGCAATTCTGGATTGTTTGAATGGTTAGGAAAACATAGAGGCAAAGTGTGCAGTCAAAAAAGAAAATAGAATAAATAATAATAAAAAAAATAAAACGACGATAAATAAAAATATCCTACATTGTCCCTCAAAGGAGAAATTCAAATTTACCAGCAGAGAAGTGACAGACGTACGAAGGCAAGACGATTCACACGAAGGTAAAATAATAAATAAGAGCGCACAGTAAGGGCAAATTTATAACATAAGATAGAAACACTGCACAGTTTTTATTTTGATTTTTTTTATACTCGGATCTAAATAAATATGCAACTGGGAAGGAAGTATAAAAGAAGCATAACATCTACATGCTGTTTGTTAGGAATGTATTAGGTCAATTCATCAACTCTTTAGTCTTGAATGTAACCCATAATGGCTGATTGTTTCATGAAACAGACAAAGAAACGGCCATAAGAATTTCCACATTAGAAGAAAGTATTTACAAGTATTTCCTTTACCAAGCTGCTTACTGGTCGAGCAATCGTGCTGCTTAATTTACCTCACTTTAACATCGATAGACATTAAGTTATTTCCCTCACAATGTGCAATAAGGCTACAGGTTAGCTCCTCTTTTTGAATAGTTGCAAACAGTCAGAGCAGCGTCAGTGCAACTTGTAAGAAATCTTAGAGAGGCAAATCCTTGTTCACCGCTCCAATTTAAATCTCCAGCAAATTAAGGAAAAAAACATACAAGCTTTTAGTGTGTCTGTGGTTTTGTAGCTATGCAAACCAACATAGCTTTTCTATCAAATACCAAGGACCACCTGGTGAAAGTCATCAGCGTGATCAATGTGTGCAGGTTTTTCTCCTGTGAAATTACGCATAATGTCCTAATCCTACCATACCAACTTTATTTATAAAGCACTTTAAAACAACCACAGCTGATACAAAGTGCTGTACATCAAAACACAACATAATAAAAAAAAACATAAAATAAAAACTTACAGTTTAATAACAAAAACATACAATTTAAAACTAGATCCCGCTAGAGTTGAAAGCCAAGTAAAATAGATGGGTTTTAAGACGAGCTTTAAAAGTGAAGAAGCCTATAAAACTGGCTTCTTAAAGGTATTTCTGGTTTTATAGGAAGAAGCTGAGACTAGTTTTATCTGTATGTAGACCTTGTGCCCCAGATTTTCCCAGTAGATTTTCAAATGATTTTCTTGTTGCATTATCCTTCCTCTATCCATAGTATTCAGTTTATTCTAGATAGATAGATAGATAGATAGATAGATAGATAGATAGATAGATAGATAGATAGATAGATAGATAGATAGATAGATAGATAGATAGATAGATCTCTCTCGCTCTCTCTGTGTGTGTGTGTCTGGAGAGAGAAATTGCTGTAAATGTGAGCCTAACCACTTTGAGACAAAACCTGGATTTCCTTCACTTGTGGTTGTAATCCCTATCACATGACCACTGGTGAGGATTAGACAGTAAATGGACCAGTAAAACAAAAACGCAGTTGCACTGTGACTCACCTTTCTACCTTCCACTTCGTTTTACAATTTCTCATGAATTAGAAGCTACAATTCCTCAAGCAGAGGAGTTGTGAGAGACACACCCGTGACCAGTAGGGAGCAGTCCACGTTTTATTACCATCAGACTCAGACAAAGCTGACACAATGAGGACTCAGCAATTAAAAAGCTGTGCTTACAATAGGGCTCTGGGTGTAATGATCTGGCATGTTATTATAACCAGTGACAGGTGGGGTGAATAAAACTAATTATCTCTTTGTCATCACACTTGTTAGGGATGGGATACATCAGTCAGCAAGTGTACTTTTCTTCTTGAGCAGAAAAACATGTGGAAGAATCAAGATTTGAGCAAGTTTCACAAGAGGAGCAAAATGTTGAATTAGATGCCTGGGTGACAGCATTTCCATTAAATTCAAATTGTGCGGGGGTATTTTTACGGGCAGCAATAATTAAGCATAAATATCCAAAATATAAAACAACCATCTGGTATGAACCCACATATGTCTTTTGTGTCATGTCTGAGATATTTATCTGGAGCATATCTTCTCATAACATCTTGCTGTGTATATTTCGAAACACCAAATTTCTTGTTGCTTTTGCAACTGATTGACGATTCCCTGGTATACACCACCACGTGACACCACTCCCCTTTCTCTTGCAAAAAATGTCACACCCTTGGGAGACTCCCATTTGACTCAGTCCTGACACCTTCAACTGTCACCTGTCGCTCTTTTCATTAAACTTCCAGGGACACTTTAGTTATATGTAAGGTGTCTCTAAAAGTTAGGTAGCTTTTTCTTTTTATCCCAACTTTTGTGTGTTAGAATGTGCATTATTGATGTCAAAGGAACTGAGTTTATTGTGGAGCTAGTCCGCCATCTTGTGGCAGCTCCTTGCGCCGCAGCGTCCGTCTGTTTGATGTTTTTTCGTCTCTCTGTTGTCCCTCATAACTCACCAACTTGCGCCTTTAAAATACCTGCCGCGTGTTGGACGGAGTTCAGCTTTACTTTTCATCCGTTCAGATTTTAAAAGGGTTCAGTCGCCGTGTGTAACCTGACACTGGGGGCAGGACTACCTTTCTGCAGCCCAACCCTTCTCCAAAGGGTTGTCCTGGCTGTCGACTACATTTCTCATTCGGGTGGGGCAGGTTTTCTTATTTACCGTCTGATTCTTCGCGGTGTGAAAAGACTCACAGGACACCAGCAGACGCAGCTCGAACGGACTCCCGGTTTATTTCATTTAATTTCTTTTCCCCGTCCTTCTTCGTACACCTTTTGATCAAAAATGTTCCGCTGTGGGCTCGCCTACCCACGGTGCAGGTGGGTCATGCCCCTGCTGCTGCTTTTCGCCATAATTTTTGACATTATTGCCATCGCGGCCCAGTCCGGGTGGATCGAGGACCGGGAGAATACTCACTACTCCAGCATGTGGAAAGACTGCCGATGGCTGGGTGAAGAGTCGGACTGCTCGAGCCTCATGGACCAGAGTAAGTCTTGTTTTTAGGGACGCACACAAACTGCTGTTTGAGCTGCGTTAAACTGTAACCTGAGAAAGCCTGAGATAACCAAAAACCTCAGGCTGGGAAGGTCCTGCAGGCAGGCAGTCAGCCAAAGTGAACTTTGGTCTCCCCTCTGTAATTAACTTTTTTTTATTTTTACTCCCCTCATTCTTCACTCAGAGATTTATAGCAAAGAAAGGGGGGTTTCACAAAGAGACTAGTTAAGATTTATTGTATTATTCTAAAGTTATTACTTTACTTGAAGTTTTCCATTTTTGCAAAATACTTTACTTGTAGAATAAAATGCTGGAAGTGCACTGATCACACTTTTTGGGGGTTGATTCCTACGACACAGAGACAAATTAAACATGAAAACAAACAAAAATCCTCCTTTTTAATGTGTCAGTCAGTCAACCAGTGGCCCGTTGTGTTTTTGAGTTAAAAAATGTTTAAAGTTGACAGGCAATTTTAAAATATGACTTGATGATTATTGAGATTGAAATATTAATACCTGAACATCAACTATAAAGTCTTAAAAAATGCAAACATTTTAAAAAGACTTAAAAGAAAATAAAAAAGCAATGCTTAGCCTGGTGGGGGCACAAGAAAAACCTGGTGGCCCGCCAGGCTTATAATACACTTTAACTGATTCTTGCTAAACAAAAAACATTGAACCTGCTATTTGTTGATGCTTTTACAGGCCAAACACTGATGTAAGTTTATTGTTTTTGATGGATTTAATGAGCAGAGAAACTTTCTGCTGATGTTTCAGTTTTGGATCCTTATAGCTCAACAGAGCCAGTCATGGGGAACTGGTTGATTCTTGGTGCATCTCAGGCTTTTGCTTTTGTTTAAGGATCTGTCAAAAGATGGGAATTGACTTATCAATCGTGGATCAAAAGATTGGTGTGACTGCATTTTTGGGAAATAAATAGTATTCCAGGGAGAATATGTTTATATTTTATGAATTTAGAGTGAGAAGGGGTTGTCATAAAACAACTAAAAACATTCAAAAGGGGCTGTGTTCAAATGAGTATGTTAGAAAGAATAACATAAAACATTTTGATCAAAATGTCAAAAATAAATAAATACATTTCTTCCAAAAGGGTTTTAATGTGAAAACACGTCAACTCCAAAATATGCTACCAATCCAAACCAGATGCTATCATCATGAAGGTATATCAAGTTTTTAAGATCTTTACAGTTCAAAACCTTTAAAATGTTCCTTAAATCTTATTAATTAGCTTTTTAATGAGATGTCATAGAAATTGATGGAGTCACCAGAACTTTCTCTGGTTGTCTGGAGCTCACAGTAACACAGTAGTCCCCCTCTCCTACCTGTTGCTGCGCAATGCTCGTCAACTGGCCGAAAGAAGAATCTACTTCAAATCCTTTAACACCCATTTTCCATGTCAAAAAAAAAAAAAAAAAGATGTACTCGTGTTTGAAAAATATTTCCACTTTCTCAAACTTGGACGGTTGTGGTTTTTGAAATTACAGTCGCGGCACCAGCCATGCTTCTTACAGCAAGCTTCCCGCAGCATGTCTACTCTGACTTATGAACCAGTTCATGTCTATGGTAGTTATTCTTGAGTTAAAATACAGTGATTCTGTGAGGAGTGAAAACAACATGGCAAGTCATTAGCTTTTTAGACATTTGCTGTGAAGCTTGTGTTTCCCTACCTCAATGAAAGAGGCCAGGCTGACAAGAAAAACTTTTACCTCTCCAAAGAAACACACACGCAAACAGAAAAAACAATTCAGTGCTTCTGTTTCAATATCGTCATCTGCAGACTAATTTTTCCGTTAACCAATTCTCGGCCTGGAATTGGTTCCAAGCCAAGAAAGCAGGAAGACAGGTTTGTACCAGCCTGCTCAACATGCAGATGAGAAGCAGATTTCAAAGAGGCTGACTTGCTAAAATCAGATATGATCATATTTATAGTTTCTCCTTCAGTGGAGAGGGCCAGTCAGATACACATGCCTCAGTGTCACACACTCAGGACAGTGGCTGTGAACAGAACAGACGTCTGTCTGCTGCGCAGGTTCGTGTTTGAGTTTTCCGAACCCTTTTCTTACCATCAAACGCAGCGATGTTGCTCCTCCATCACGACTCGATACATGTCACTCACTTTTGAAAACGGCAAGCTGCAACACGTCGGGATCTGCTGAGAACATCCACGCATATTCATTTAATCATATATCACAAAGAGTCCACACTCACAATTTAACATTCGGTTGTTCATGAATACAGATACGCATAGCAACAGCATGATTATTAATTAGTGCGGTTCTGTTCGAACAATCGGTATTCCTAAAATTTTAAATCACATTGAACTTTAAAACACTATTAAGTAAGAAAAATTTTGTGCAATCAGGGATCATGCTAATATCATGCAAGTCTTACAGAACTGGTTGTCCAGTTAATAAGAAAAAACAAAACCTCAGTTTAGTGAAGTTTTCCATGTTAACATGTTGTTAGCTGTTAACCGGAGCAAAAGTATGGACTACGCACGCCACACTTTTAAGATTTTTTCCTTGCAGAAACTTCCTCTCATAATTATGCACAACTGTGTGTTGCAAAAACTGTTTTGGGGATATCAATACTTTCTTAAGTCATTGTGATATGTTGAATTTTATATTTTAGGCTTTGATAACTTTGTGCTTTTTTTTCCCCCTGACTTTTTTTTTTTTTATGATCGACAACCCAATTATCTCTCTGAGAAATAAACACAGGACATAATGACAACATTCATTAGTTGTGGCAGGAACATCTGAGAGGCCTGTCATCTTTATCAGTTTACACTAAACATTGGAATAAAACAAGAAGTTTTTAATTGGTTTCTCATACCATTTCTGTCTGTAAGCCAGTTTCACAGAACCAACATCAGCCGCTCCAGCCTCGGTATTTGATTTTTACCACATTTCATGAACTTGTGTTTAGTTTGAACTGCCCTCTGCTGCTGTTTTGGGACGATCCCCTCTGTTGCCTGAGTCAGTAAAGCGAAAGATAAGAACATCTGCCAGAAGAAGAAGAAAAAAAGAAACTTGCTGGATAAGAGAGAGTTGTTTTTTTTCCTTGGAGGTCTTAATGGTTGAAATACTTGTAGGGTCGACCCGACAGGCCGAGGAAACGAGCCCAGCTGAAGTGTGTGAATAAGAATGTTTTCAAAGACCCTCAGTGTCAAAGCGCTGAATAGGAGGAGAAGCTGCTCGTCCAGATAATGTGGCATGAGAACAACATGAACCAACATGTTTTCATGCTTTTAATAAGAGGGCGTGTTTGGAAAAAGAAAACAAATTATGTAAACACATCTTCATTATGACTCATGGCTGCCGGGTACTGTTCATTAGTTCCCTGGAAGTTGCCAGACGTTTGTGGTCCTCTTCACTATGAAATTCAAATGAAAAAAAAAAACTGGATTGATAAAAGACGGGTACTGTGAGTTGTACCGAACGTTTTCCATTTCGGAAAGATTTAAACTTAGAACCGCCTGTGCTGTGCTGGCAGATTAGATTTTTGATATACTTAAGCAATTGTCTGTAAACTGGACTAAACATGTCCGAAAGTTTTGAAAATGCGTAATTTTGTTTGCTCAAAAGGAAAAAAAAGAAATAATCCCGTGTGAATGTTCATGAACAAACACGTCTTTGCAAAGCTGCAGCTTTATTGGTGTGTAAATAGTGGCATCTGTTGTGTAAAGGTGCGTAAGGGCAACATAAGTCTTACTCTTTTATTGGAAGGAGAAAACGTACGGTAAACAGCTGAATGACATAAAGTTAGAAATGAAAACGGGAACAGACTTCACCCAGAAAATTTCACAACTCATTTTATTTTAATATTTTATAGTTATGTTTTTACATTGCTGATTTAATTATTATTATTAATACTGCGATGTCACAGATTTGAATCTAAAATTTTATAAAGAATTACAAATATTGTGATATTATGATAAAATGATAGTGTTTTTGTGCCAGACGATAATTTTGAATCTTATTTGGCTAAATTTGTACTAATTCTTTAATAGAAAATGTCTGCTAAAGAAATCACATCTGTCTTTAGAGCTTTTCTTTTCTAGTGGCTAAAATATTGATTGTAAAACAAAGAGTAATTGTTCATTTGTCTGTTTATTGTTCACATTCGTGACTGCAGAATCAAATATTTTCACCATTAAAATGAGTCTTTGTTCGCTTTCTACAATGTCCGACCTGTATTAACAAATAGAATAGCTAATTTTGGAGGGGAAATGTATGGTGGCCCTGAAGGGCAGAAAACCATCAACAAATCACTAAACGCAACTACAAATTGAAAAACGCAACACATTCAAAAACACAGCATTACCTAAGCACAACTACAAAAGAAAACAGTTGCAGCTTTATTTTACTATTTTAGATTTAGTGACGTCCTATCGGATTGTTGCACATTTCAAAATGGCTGCCAGTAGAGGATGATGATGCTCCTTCTAGTCTTTTTCTCAAACCAACCGTCACACCGGGTCTCCAGTTTTTACTCAATGTTAGTTTAAAATAGGGTTGCATAATGTCAGGAAAACATTTAACTGCTATACTATTACAGAGAATTGAAATAATAATTCAATTAACCCACATTTTCTGGATAATTTTTCCTTTACTGTTGCTTCCTCTGTAAGCTCCAATGCTTTGGCTACTACAGATTTACATCCAATACAGGAGATGAGGAGATAGTCGGCCTACTAGGTGCAGAGTGTGAACACCTGCTTGAAATGTAATATCCTATCAAATATTGCATCTAACACACTAGTATTGCAATGAAGAATGTGAAAGGTAGTTTTAAACTAGAGATGTGCAATCTATCCATAAACTAAGCTTTTGGGTTATAGGAAAAAGACGTGTTTTTTGCTTCTCCTAGCTGTTTTTTTTTTTTTTTTTGAAAATTAGAAAACTGCTAAAATTGCAATCACTATCTACCAGGCAGAAAGTTTACATTTGCGTCGCCATTGTTTGAAGTTTTTCCTCCTAGGCTTTTGCCGAAATGCACAAACGGGAAGAAAGTAAAGACGATGCGTCTAACTTGACAGTTTTGAACAGTGTCGTTGATGAGCTTGCATGCAATTTAACCACATCCCGCAGGGCGCGGGAGGACTAAACTAGTAGAACTAGCTGGGCGTGTTCATGTATGAGGAAGAAATGCCTGTGGCTGCAGCAAGTCAGACATTACCTGAACACAGAGTGAGCAACGTAGCTGTGAATAATTTAAGGGTGTGGGTTGATCCGGTAACAGGAAAACAGCTTTGTTAAAAATACAGAACAACTCGATTATTAGCAGTAGATTTTTGGATTGGGCCCTACTTTTACGTTATTTTTTTTAAAGCTCAACGTTAAACTCAGCTCTATCATTAATGGATCCTATCCTTTTACTCCTTCTGCAGGCAACATCTGTTTGGGGAAAAACGTATGAGTCATAAATCTGCGCATTTATCAGCAGCCCGAGTTTTTACGGCTATTTGGTTGGATTTCAAACTGTTCGTCCCGTTCCCAAACACACAGAGGGAGGTGCAATTTCAAGTAGACATCAGCAAAATAGGCGGGTGTGGCGTCTGCGTGTTGAAAGCACACAAGCCTTCTCCATCAGCCTCAATGAGTTCATGCAGTTTTGCATGAGAACGTGTCGCAGCAATGACAAAGGAACAAACTGTCTGACATGCGTTCCACACACAGATTCATTTATTAAAAAAATTTATTTACGAAACTGTTTCACAAGACGCTTGCTGTGGGATATTTCTTTACTATGTTTAGGGGATATTTATTACATATTTTACTGTAGTTGGGGATAAAACTGGAGGTGTTTTATTGCTAATATTTTCTTCCTGAACTCTGAGAGTTAAAGCTGCTGACTTTTATGTGATGAATCTAGCTGAAATTCTGTCTTCTTGGGAAAGTTAATAATTTTTTGTTTGTTTGTTTGTTTCCTGTGGACTACAGGTTGGGCTCGTGCCGTGGCAGCTCTGATGATTGTTGGCCTCATCATCCTTGTCCTTGCTTTCATCATCTGCGCCGTTAGCATGTGTACTGAACCTTCTTCGGGCCCTCTCATTGCCAGTGGAGTTCTGCTTTTTATTGTTGGTAAGCTTTACTCACACATGCACAGAAACATATTTGCATGATCATTAAGTAACAAAATTTTGGTACTCAGCTGTTTACAAACAGGAAGATTCTGGTTTAGAGATCAGCGGGGGTCTTTTATTGTTTACTCTACGTGGTTCTTCTGTTCGTTTGGGTTTTGTTCTGAGTCTAGTTTACTCCTAAATAATAAGGACAGATTGTGAGAGAGAGTATCTCACACAATCTCTCCAACATAAAGATATCCACCCACTGACATCGACATAGAATCCCATCTACTCAAGTAAAGTAGAATAAAGACTGCAGCAATCACTTTGCACAGTAACACAGTGCATCAACTAACGTGATTTGGTTGATGCACTTTGTTAAAGGCATTACAGCCGGTGTTCTATCTGTGCTACTAATTAATCCGTCCTACCTTGTGGTAGTGTGAGCTTTCAGTCTGCAGACCTTACGTACACCAATGTTACAAACTTGCCTAGACTCCAACCGCGCTGTATTGCGTGGTTTCCCACTCAGTCAGCTGAACCGTCCCCAAACTTTCCACAATCCTTCATATATAAGAAAAGAACATCCTTGTTATCAAAAACTGGAAAAACAATCCCTGCTTTGTAGCACATGAAAGCTGAATATACTGGAGTGAAAGAGACTGCTGCGTATCAAACATTTAGACATAAATATGTACTGAATGGTCTGCCAAAAGACACCCTGTTGCACATCCTGAAGTCTTTCATGTTCACTAATGAAAATAGATATATTTTAATGGTATTTGTTGATCCGCTCCCATGTTCAACTAGTTTTTGAAACTTTTGTTAACTTTTTCTTCTATTTTCTATCTAAACTTAAATCCGAATCAGTTACATTTGCCAGGAACCGGTTTGTCTTTTGGGGCGGAAGAACTTGACAGAGTTTTATTCTGACTTGTGAGACTGTTGCTGATTGAATACAAGGATGTTTGTCAGGAGAAAGGTCAAACGTGAGCATTGTTCTGGGAATTTGCTCAACTATAAACAGTGAACTGACCACAGCGGGTGAAATATTATGAATGTAAAAGAAGGAGGTTAGGAGGAATGACTGCAACTGAATGCTAGAATTAGAAATAAGGATAACTTCTGTCTAATTAAGTGGGATATGATGATGATTAGGGAGCAGCAGAGACAATGAGAGGGTTAAACACAACATCCAGTTTGGTGTGATGCTCTCATAGCAACAACTGGCTTAATCTGTTTTCTTTGACATGAGTGATCCCAGGTAGAGCATGGGAACAAAAAGTAAAACAGAAATGCGATTCTCAACATGCGTCACAGGGCCAAACTAGCAGGACATGGAAAGTGTTTAAAAGTCTGCCACTTTGTTTTGTCAGAGGCAGAGTTTCGGCTTAAACTCGGAAGTACAATAAAGTTGGTGTTTCTGATTAACCTAAACTTAACTTACCGGTTAAGAAAATGTCTGTCAGATTTTATTGAGAAACAGCCAAACTGCTAACTAAAGAAAGATTGTATGGATTGATGGCCATTCAGCCAAGGACTATCAACAAACTCCACATTTTGATTTGTTTAAGTGGCTCTCACACAGTCACGTGAAGGTATTTTCCACACTCCGCTGCTGAAGTCAGCAGCAGTGATGTCTGCCTGCCCAGATGGCTGTGTGACTAAGAATGAAGTCAATGTTTTTCAACGTGTATGAATAATTTGAAATGAATAATAAAATGTTACGGGGTGCATTAAGTGCTATCCAGACACATAGCGTCATTTGATAGCATAATGACTATCAAAACCTTCTATATTTTCAAAAATAACTTTGCATCATAACTGATCCCCTAAAATTGGGTCTCTGTCTCTTTAAGAACCTCGATAAATTCCAACACTCAGCACTTCATCACAACGATGAAACTGAACTGAGAAACAGTTCACATGTAGACTAGCAGTTTCACCAGGTGTTTGCTAATTCCTCTGTTAGGAGGAAAACTGCCTTTTTCATCCGAGACAGTAGCTAAACTAACTTTCACAGAAACCCAGCCACTGTGAAAGTTAGCTAGATAACTGTGAAAGTTAGCTAGAAAGTTAGTTAGCTAATTACAGTTGGCTAACTTTAGTTAATTAGTTAAATACTGTAAGTAAAAGTAAATACTGTGAAAGTTTCACTTCCTGTGAAAGTTTAGCTAACTTTCACAGAAAGCTATGGAAGTTAGCCAAACTTTCACAGTATTTAATTACTGTTTTTAATTACTGTTTTGATGAGGGTTATTAAGTTGCTTCTTGGTCTTTAACACTGATCAAACATGTTCGCCTGTTCCTTCAGCGCTCCTCCAGTTCATCGGTCTGATCATCTACCCCGTCAATTTCAACGACAGGATCTTCGAGGGCGAATACGAATACACTTGGGCCTACGGGTTCGGGTGGGGCGCCACCATCATCTGCTTGGGCTGCAGTTTCATCTTCTGCTGCATTTCTTCTTGCATACCAAAGATAAACGGAGATGAGAAGATCGATTACTGTATCACTCGTTAGTAGCGACAGAATCTCCCGACCCCCCCCCCAGTCACAGTAGTTCCCCCCACCCCCACTTCTCTCTGTCACTGAAAACTAAAATTTTGTTCGACACTGGAAGCATTCCTCCCCTACCATCCCTGAACAAAGTGGACTGTAACTGGGGACCACCCTAACTTTAATGCACACAGATCCTGATTTTAGATTTTTTTTCAGCATCTCAACCCCCTCCCCCCCCCTTTTTTTTTTTTTTTTTTTTTTTTTTTTTTTTTTAACAAAGCTAGACACTTTCCATATTTTTTCCTCAGAATTTCGCACACGGCAATTCTCAAAGCAATAACACCCAAGTGCATTTATCTTTAAAAGAGTTAGTTTTGTATAAACCACAAGCAATCCAGAATTATTTTTTTTGCACAGGATAAATGAATGTTTATCACCCTACATTGTACCGTGTAATTTGACAAATATTGGGTCTCCATAGTGTCATTAACTCTGCAAGTTTAGCCTGGCAGACAAAGGATAGGAAGGCCTGAAGAGGCTGAATGTAATCTGTACCATCAGAAACGTACATGTTGGTTAAAAAGTTTTTTTTAAATAAACCTACAGTCTGTCTCTTTGTTTTGCTGCGTTTATGTGGTAAAGGCAAGAAATGCTGTGCTGCGTTTGAATGCAATTGACTTGTCTTGATGCTGTAGTAGAATTAGAGATGTTCTGAATTCACATTGGTGCACATGTTTTAGTTAAACTGTCACAGAAATACTCCAGATCCCTCATTGTTTTTTGTTATTACATCAATTAATTATATTTAAGGACTACAAGAAACAAAACCAAAATTAAAAAAAAAAAAAAACATCTTAACACCCTGAAACATATTACAAGATCCACACTGCCATTGTTCAATAAGGATGTTAGTACTGGTTAAAAGGGAACAATATGCATTTAGATTATTTTGTTTTTAATGTTATATTCATGTCAGTTACATATGATCTTTATGTTTTTTTGTTTTTTTTTCCCCTGAATTTTAAGAATGCCATAGAGGCGTTGCTGGTTTGGTGATAAAACACTGACCAAAGTTTCCAACACTATGACTCACTGTGTGAAAAGAAACTGTGCCTTTGTGTTTTCTCTGTGGTTAATCCTTGAGCGTTTCATTCTAGTGGCAGAGCTGGTTTTTACTCACGCTGTCTGCTTCGTGCCAGCACCAATCTGCTCAGACATGATCAGGCCTCTTTGTTAGATTTATATCCTGAATTTCTGACGAACTCTGCCGTTGGGTGAGTCGGTACTTCAACTGATGCTTTGTCTCTCCAGCCTGGAGCTGCTTAGCTTCATGTATTTTATTATTTTGGTAGAAGTTTTAACCATTAATGGGCATAAGTGTTTGTGTTCAGTGTGGGTTTTTCACTGTAAGTCATCAGTGCTTTACTGTATTAAAAAGAAATCTAATATTTTTCTTTCTGTACTCTGAGGTATTTTTGGTAAGTTGTGTATTTTTCAGCAATAAAGAGTTTTTATGTAGAAGAAGTTAAGTACTTTTTTTTCCTCTTTATTTACCTTAAACTGACTGTGTTGTTTTAAAATGCGAGACAAATATGTTTTGACTGCTTCTACGACCGCATTTTATTTCATTAGAGGACGTAATAAAGCTGGTCTGGGGTGGAAAACGTCACATAAGGAATGAAAGGGAGAGTTAGTACAAAATAGAAACTAATATTGAAAAGGAGAGTTGGTACGAAATTTGTCAGAACTCTTAAATACAGATCAGGTTCCTGCTCTGTGTTTTATTATTCTGCTTGGGGTTGTCACCACTCCAATGAAGGAACAGATGATGCATAGCATAGGAATGTGCCGACCAGAGTCATAGATAATGGAAAGCACACACACCCAAGAGGAGCCCCACCTTCACACAGCACTGACTGACGATTAGATTTTGCTCGGCGTGTCCCGACGGCTCCGCTTTCCCAGAGAAAAACGGGGGGGAGACAGGGGAAGGAAAGTGACATCAAGGTGAGACATGGGGCGAGGAGGAGGAAGAGGAGGAGGGGGAGAGACACTCACACAGAAAATGTGCACACGCCTGAAAACTCAGCAAACGCATAAGAGCTTTAAAACAACACACCATGTTTCCTCAACACTACATGGCCTACGATAATATGACCACTTGAAATAATACTTCGTGATTATGAAGGAGTGAGGTTGTGTGAAGAAACTTTAGCAGCTAATAGTTGTGTTATCTCCTTGGCATCTTTATTTAGTATAAATACTAGTTGATGCAAGAGGATTAAGTTTAGAGATTATCTTTTAAAACGGCTCAAGTCTCAAAACTTCATAAGTTTTTATTAAATGGATATATAGAAACTGTGGTAAAAGACAATGCACAACCAATGAACTTCCTGTGTGAAACGCCTGTCTAAAGCACTTCCTGTGGCAATGCAACAATTAATAAAAACAAAATTCACTGAAACCGCTCTTTTTATTCACTTTTTGTTTACAGTTATTCTCATCAGAAAGGCTTTCCATGTTCAATTTCATAGACGTTTCTTACAGGAAGAGTTTTGATGGTGCACCACCTTTGACCTTCATTTTCCAGGTAAATAATTAACGTCTCTTTAAATAACCACCAAGAGCTCACAAAATGAGGAGTTAGACACTTTATAAAAGTTATAGAAATAGATTGGAGTGGTTTTCAGGAGGTAAAGCTCCACTTCTTGGTTTTGGGACCAATACGAATTAATCTCGGTTACACAAAATGAAGAAGTTGAGAGAGTTTGCTACCACAGCTACGATATTGATCATTGATACTCTTTTGATTTTGATTTAACAAACATATCAGTGCCAGTTAAAGCCTGGAAGAGATAAAAAAAAAAAACAACAGCCAGCAGGGTCATTTCTGACATTAAACCTAGATGAGTAAGAGTTTCACACAATCAAACAAGTAGCTACTGAATAAAAAGTCTTTAACAAGGCTGGAAAATTTAATGGTTATGCATATTTTGGTATCATTCTGGTACGCATCACCAGTATCACCAATATCGATAGAGATATTTTTTATTATTAAGGCTTTATATTTCATCAAACTTCTAACCTTCAAGTGTTTTTGTGGCTTTTCAATTATTTTGTTGAAATCTGGGACAAAATTTGGATAAAGTTTAAATGTGTCTTCAAAATACTTTAATAATATATTAACATAATAAACAAAAACAATAATTTAAAAATAAACATAAAAACAAAACAAATGTGTGCATTTTTTTTCGACAGAAGTGTAAAAAATAATTTGAGAGCAGATCGAAACAAAAACTTTTTGAGAAATACAATGCAAAAATAAAATAAAATTTCACGAGCGAATTTGAAACTAAAGTATCGATCTTACTTCACTATAATCGATCCGATAATGATATTTATTTGGTATCGGTGTTGATATTTTAGATCAATTCAATCATCTTTCCTTGTGACTGCAGAGTGCGCTGTTTGAAGAAATAGAGTTGAAATACTGCAAAAGAACGGCTCCACTGTCATGTAAAGAGCAAATGTTTAATTTTGTTTTGTTATTAAGTTCAAATAAATCAACAGAACAAGTTAAGATCTGCAATGGCAACACTGACGTTAAAGATGTCTTGACACAAATAAATTTTTTATTGCAGTAGCATAATCCCATTGATCACTTTAGGAAAATCTAGGCTCTGAGTTCATTTGTTTAGTAAAAAAAAAAGCACAAAAAATAAAGAAATTAAATCATATTTTAAGATATAATTATTTTACACAAAGTCCCTTATTATAACCATCAAACAATTAGAATCAAATAAATGTACCTGATACACTTCTTTCATTCTTTCTTTTGTTTTGTTTTTTTTAAGCAGACTTTACTGTTTAAGATGGTCAGACTGGGAACTTTTAATTACTAACACATGACTTGATGTTTCCCTGTAAATATGTCTTCACACAAGAGCCTCATTGTTTTAATCACTGTGCTAGGTAAGGTTGTGTCTTTAGCAGAGCCCACAGTGAAGCCGATGTGGAGAATGATGCCAAAAATTACCTCCAAAGCTTCATGTTAAGGAACTAGAGAAAAGAGAGGTATGTTTGGCTCGCCAGGTATCAGTAACAACTGTTATATACTATTTACATGCCCAGTGGTTGTTTGGGAGGCGCGACAGTGTAGAGGTGATTTCCCAGGTGTTTTCTGTGGAAACCCTGGAGGAATCCTTAATTCAATTGTGTGTTTCTGTGATTTGCTTGTTTCGATGGTGAGATCTTTTTTCAAGCAGACATAATAAGAGAATTCAACTTTTTTTTTTTTTTTTTGATGCAGATATGAGTCAAAAACACCCACAAAATAAGTTTCCCCCCCACAAAACAACAAAAAGGTCACCGCAAATGTAAACTGGATCTTTCACTGGAACTTTGTGCTTTGATTCGATCAAATAGACAAAAAAAAATTTAGTTTTTCTGCAACAAACACTGCAGGTGGTTTTGGCACAAACCCAAGTTTGAATGTGAAGAGGCACCTCTATGTGAGGAGGTTCTGTGATGCTGCGGGCCTGTTTTCTTCCAGTTCCCAATGGGAACTTTATTAGAGCCTACTGCATTACTCACTCTGAAATACCAGAGCGTTTTAAATAAAAATATCCCGACCTCTAGCAGGAAACTGAAATGGATCATCATCGTGTCTTTAAAGTGAATAAAGATCTGAAACATATGAGCATAAAGATGCTTTACTAGACCTGAATCCAACCTTCTTTCACGGTCATCTCAGTCCTCATGTCTTAACCATTGAAAATATGGAGATGTGAAATGAAAACAGGAGCCTGAACTCTGGAAGATCCAAATAGTCAAAGATTTTTGTCCCTGTCTGCTCCAGCCTACCAGCTGCTGTCCTCTTGGTGAAAAGTTGGTTGTACAAAATGGCAATTGCATGAATGGTAATAAATATGTCACTAGTAAAATAAAAAAATAAAATAAAAACTAGTTCTCGAAGCTGATTTTTCCAAACTGATTCAGTGTTACCTTTTTTGTTTTTCAGAATACAATCATGATATTGCAACAAAAGATTAATTTATTTGAAGAATTTGTACTTTTTCAGCTACTGAGCTACATACAACCTTTACTCACCTGCTCTTACAATAAAGATTGTCGTTTGCTGTCACAGTGCTCCAGTAGGCACATCAGATGAGAAAATTATATCTAGTCAGGTGAAGGATGTGATATCTAAGAAAAATATGCAACACTTACAAATAAAAAGCTTAAAGCAAATACACAAAAGCATTTGCTTGTTATTTTGTTGCATTAAATAACATTTGCTGTGTGAAATGGTGAATTTTGGTCATTGTCTTTTGGTCATCTAGTGCATTGTGGGATAAATAGTGGTTTCTTTAAAAGAAAACACTCAGCTCAAGTATAATGATGGCACATTCTGGGTTTTAAAGCTAACGTTATCTCTAAATGCTGTGTTTCTGTTGCTGAAAATGGCCACTAGAGGTCAGTGTTGATGAGCGTTTCAGCAGTTTCATCCCTGGTTTCCTCTTCTCTGCAGTTCAGCTTGAACCCATTTCCCTTTGAGTTGTGGCCCTCAAAAATGTATTTGGAAGGCAATCAATAGTAAAGTGATGTCAGCTTTAACCCCCTTCTCTCACACACACACACACACACACACACACACACACACACACACACACACACACACATACACACACATACACACACACAAAGCTGTCTCACAAAGTATCGTCTTTGTGGAGGTTGGTTTCGATCTGCCTCTGAGGTGCTTTCCAAGTGAGATGAGGAGCCAGAAGAACACTAGATGTTCTTCATCACAGTTCTCCCCAGGGTTCTCCCCACTTCTTCTGCCACCTCATATCGGGACGGAGCCCCGAGGCTTTTGGGGCTCTGATGGAACGATCTGGGTTCAGAAGTCACTCTGAGGGACTGGCCACACTGTCAGAACACAAGAGACGGATGACTCCAGAAGGCTTATATACACTGCGCGCACAATTATTAGGCAAGTCTTGCTTTTTAGGATTATTTTTTTAAATCAATCGCCAAATAAAGGTTCGTCCAAAATGTCAATAAACTGCAAACCTTTCGGAAAGTTAAAGTGAGGTTCAGTTCAGCTGAGAAAGGGGGCTGTAGCATAAGTTTTTCCCCTTTAATGACTCTACTGATGAGCCCCACAGAGGATGCATGTGATGGAGCATTGTCCTGTAAAGAAATCATAAAAACTTCTTCCTGCGCCAATTCTTGAAAGAAGCATCTTCTAAAACCTAGTAGTATGTTTTGGAGATAATTCTTTGTTGATCTTCAGTTTTAGCTCCACCAGCCCATACCACTACCCCACCTCCACCTTGCTGATTCAAAGTGGAGCTCTGCCCCATTACTGATCCAACCACAGGATCAACCATCTGGTCCATTAAGAGTCTCTCTCATTTCATCCATAAAAACTTTGAAAAATCACTCATTAGTTATTTGTTTAATCAGTTTAGACACTTTAACTTATGTCATGTCTCTGAGCGATGAACATTTTCTAGGTC